CATCATTTAGCAGCGGTGTGGCAGCGTCTGAAAGTTCAGCAGTGCTGAACGCGGGCCGTGTGATATTGACTTGTATTTCACTTGTTTGTACAGAGAGTTTTGTATCCTTAACACTGGTGTTCTCAACACTCACAGTTTTACCTCTTTTGGCGTTAATTTGTCTTAACTCGTACCAGACGTTGCCCCTGGAACCGCACGAGGAACCGAAGCTGCTTTCGAGTGTGCTGCACCCGCCGGCGTCGTACTCGCTCATGATGGACGAAATGGACGCTTGGCTGTCTACGCTTCGAACGCGATCCCATCCCTTTCTGCGGTCCATTGCTCCTTTAAAAGTTATTTATGAACGGTATTTTATACTTGATTTACTACATGGCCTAACCCTGAGGAAATGGTAGAAACACAGTTTTCCTATAAAGTCAAGACGGCAGAATGCAATACTCGTAATGTGTCCTTCATAGGGTTGCTCTGTACATTTGGGCATTGTAGAACATGTGTTATTTTGACCTATGGACGCGAGTATCAATTTTATTTTCGATTTTTTGGGAAATATCAATAATTCTTGAACGTTACGAAAACACGTGTTGGTTTACTTGTCGATAAGATATTGATCTGTCCCTTCGCATTGCTAACACCGGTATTGATAATGTATCGGAAAATACAGGTATCCTTGTCGTCATAGATGACCCCTTTTTATAGCCAGGTTCTGACGGTTAATTCTGGTGATAATGTCTATCTCCTCTTTCGTCCTATCCAGCTCTCACAAACCCTTTCCCATTTTCCTATCTTCAACTGGCCAGCATCTCTTTCTCAGTGCGTTGCAAGCGTACCGTAGGTTCTAGATTCCGCTATTGCCAGCTCGATCTTGATTTCATATTTATCCCATATCAGCCCGATTCACAGTGACTCTGACACTCATGGCATGCAAGAGTGGACGTTCGGATAATTGGTCTTGTGCATGTATGTACTTCATATAGTAAAACAAACGAACAGAAAAATATTGAAATAAAAGAGGCCCTACTGGGATTCGAACCCAGGATCTCCTGTTTACTAGACAGGCGCTTTAACCAACTAAGCCATAGAGCCCTCGATGTTTTCCCATGCTATATCTCTCTCCGTCTCATAATAAAGACGATAAATACCCTTTGTTGTTAAGGAGACAATGAAGACATAAAAGAGGTTGATTTCATCTTTCGACGGTGATTTGCATATGTGTGCGTTTCTCATCACATTACGTTTGTTATCCCTCAATCTCTTCTCCCCACCCCCACCCCACTCACGCATTCTTTTAGATATTTTCCAGATAACGTTTATCTCTTGCAATCAAAAAATTTAGTGGAACGCAATGTTTTCATTATATTATAATTAATTAAAATTAAAGACGTACATATACTAGTACACTCGCACAGTAGGTCTACCAGTGTGGCCACAAACGACAGAGGCTGTCTCTCTTTCTCTCTCTCTCTTTTAATCGATTTTGGTGAGATTATTTCATTTTCGTGCACAAAAACACAAAGCATGGTCACACCAAAATGTTCAATATAACATATATCATACATGTACCGGTAGGAACTTCAGGTTAGTTTAACTCTGAAAAACACGTGTTGATTTCACCCCCCCTCCCCCACTTTCCAGTCGTTACTATCCCCTTGGTAATAATTACACTATCCAATCGTTACTCCAATCGTTACACTATCCAATCGTTACTCCAATCCTTACACTTTCCAATCGTTACCGCAATCGTTACACTTTTCAATCGTTGCTCTCCACCAGTTGAATATGAAGTAAAAAAGAGCAGAGAAATAGCCAGATATTTTTTGTACACATCTTAGTGAAAGAATTCTCTGTCTGACCCTTGCAGGGGTACTATAGTACCCTGTCGTCGTGATATCCCGAATTGCATATACGCTTATACAGTACCTGCGTAAGAGCTGTGTACCATTCAACTGATGCTTTACACAATTACATTTTCATTGTTAAAACATTTGTTAAAAACTTTCGTAAGACGGGGCGTCCAAATGGGCAGTCCCACAGGCCATTCTTTAACTATGAATATGACGTTACTCAAATGTGATGATTTGAACGTTTTTACAAATAATGAAGCCTAAGGCATGAGATGTATCGCTTTAATTTTGTGACAAATGAAGCCATGCAATGCAATTTACCCCGAAGCTTATAAAGGCCACTTCTACAGTGATAACTATGCAACTTTAGGTATTTGTCTGAACAAAACAATGCATACAAGTGCACCATTAACTCTCACCTATTTCCGAACGTAGTTTCCTCCTCATCTTGCTCTGACAACTCTATACCGCTGGAACTCTCAGACTCCCTTCCCGAGCTCCTTCTCCGAGGTTTCTTCCTTTGCTGCGCGTTACCAGAACTTTCCACGCCCCCAGCGTTTCCCGTCCCCGTTCTCTCCAATCTGGCCTTGAACTTCATCAGTTCCCGTTCTGAACAGATCATTGTGAATAGAGTGTCTTTATCGTTTTCTTTTTATTAGACTTATTCAATGTCACGCTGAGTGTGACGTTCAGGTCCTACATGTACATCATGGATCACCATTCCACAAGTTCACCACATTTAGTTTGAAGTTTAATTTAGCGGCTGGAACGACTTGGGTTTAACATCTCCCCTGATTTAGAAACGTTCTCATTTAACATTGACTATGGTCAAAAGTCCAGCACCGTTTGCCACCTTGAATGATTCTTCTATAGTTATCGCAAAGGAAAATTGAAAACTCGTCCTTGCTCTTTGAAAAATCAAAGTGGACCAATATGTTCCTTGCGTAACCGCTACACAGAAGGGGTTAACAGGCCGTCACAAAGCTCCAATATTTAACCAGGCACAGTCAATCAGGTACGGCTGGTTGATTAAAATTTCACGGACCCGTGACTATAATCACAAATTTACTGTGTAGTGATCTTGACTACTCGTTTGATCGGTCATTGGACGATCGTCTCGCTATAAAACATGTTAACGCCAGTCTCAATACGTAGATCAGCGGCAGCGGAAATCTGGCAGTATTCTTATATCATCACTGGACTCACATGCGACATACAACTGTATAATGATGATCAATCACGTAAATAAAGTTTCAGGTATCTTTTGTGATCTTTTTTTAAACAAAACATCTTTAGAATTTATCGAGAATTCCACGAGTGGTTTAAAAGCTCCGAATCAAAGAATACGGAATACGCATCACTGAATTCAAAATTGACAGATAAGTCCAGAAAAAAAATTCTGAGAATAAATCGTCAGCATGTAGATATATGTAAAGGAATCCGGAGTTCCTTGAAGCGGCATAAAAATGTAGTCCCTCATCTATTTTACTCCCAACTCCTGCGAATCAGAGAAACAAAATTACTTTCATTATGAGATTACTACATGCCCATGGCTGAATGATCATGACATTTGTCACTGCCACTGAAGTAATTCTTCTCCAGAAAACGTGGCTGTTTCCCGAAAGGAATCTCAAATTGAAGCCAAAAGAATTCATGACAACTTGGTTTCCTGAATTACTGTAGCAAAACACAACAGCTTGTAAGATTCAACATAGAAAAAGTACTGGTAGCTGTTTTCCTAGTAATATAATGCAAGGCGCAGCTTTATCATTAGGAACTCTATACCTCTCAACGGTGATGCAATATTGGTTTGCTTGGCAACAGTATCAAGGCAACAGCCGGTTATATTCCCACGGCTCCGTTCCTCAGCAATATTTGGACTATTAATAACTTCTTTCATTTGCTTTTTAATTTTTGTATTCTGTCTTTTGACGTAGATATGAAACGTGCCCGCTCAGTGACAATCTGTCAACTTTTTATTCACACATTCTTTCATTTTTCTTTCATTTATTCTTTCTTTCTCCCTTTTTCATTTACAAATGGCCAAGAGACTCAAACTGCGTAGGATATTTCTTTTCTCAAAGGCAATTTACAATTGTATCATTCACAATGAAGCAAATACTCACAAGCGAATGCACTGAGATCCATATCACGCGCAACAGATTTTATCAGTTTTAATTGACAGTGTTTCTTATCTTCGTCTGACCAGAAAGCGGGCATTGTTTCTTTAGAAAGAAAGTCGGTGTAGTAGAGGGACATAACAGCGGCTCTATGGCTTAGTTGGTTAAAGCGCCTGTCTAGTAAACAGGAGATCCTGGGTTCGAATCCCAGTAGGGCCTTCTTTTTATTGCTTTTCATTAAATTCCTTCCAATTTCTGATCAAATCGTGGTAATTGAGAATTACCACTCACTAGGCGTATAAACCAATGTTGTGCACAATCTACAACGCAGTAGACGTGTTTGCCGAAGTCCATTCTTTTTTCTTTATAATTCTATGCACACTGAAAAGCAAGTGCTTTAATTTGGTTACTTTATTGATTGTTTTAATTGTTGCGAAATATATACACCGAAGTATCTAACTTACCCACCTGTTTTTGGAATGCTGTCTATTACATGCGATAACATAAAACAGAAACAACCTTCAAATCATTTACCCTATATCGTTATATATTTCAGTCTTAAGAAACACAAATCACATAGAAAGGGGCATCAATCAATCGCGCTACTTGAAACTTGAAATAGATCAGAAAGAACACTTTTATATCTTAGAATATAAAAAAGACTTTACGTTATAATACATGACTACACTGCCACTTAAAGCAGCGAATGTAGCACTAGTGCTCACAAGATAAATACTGACTCATATGCGAAGGATGTTAAAATAAATAGAAATTCCCCATACATACATACATGTACCAACCGAAATGTTAATTTTGACTGCATGTTATTAACAGTTTCCCTTCATCTGTTCATCTTTAAAATACTTTACATAGAATACTGTCTTATCGATATGGAAGATACTCTACACCCCCCCCCCCATTCATACGTAATAAGATCACGTCGCAAAGTCAAATGATTAAAAAAGAAACGGCTGCAAGAATAGAGCGCATATTTACACCATACCCGGTACCCGACTGATATTCATGTACATATACATTTGTACATATACATGCCAATAAATAGACCCTCTCAATATTTGAAGTATTCCCTTGTGATTTTAATGCGGTTGAAGATATGCTAGATGTAGTATTATTATTCCGTGGTTGTATTGTTCACGATTTAAAAAATTGTCTGAGGCACCTTCAATACTCGGAGAGAGATGGGAGCCATCTTCTGCTTTCTTCTGTTTTCTTTCTGTTTTCTTTGTGTGAGATTTAGAGATTGAGAAGACAGCATAGATATATATACACATACTACGAGATAAGACGTCTCACAGTAAACCATTTGTATAACGAATTCACATTATTGTACAGGATTTGGACTGCTTTTTCTGGTCCTTCTCTGTGGGTGCATCTACGTTTTGGTCTGTCTTGTCGTTCAGGCGGTCTAGCTCGGAGAACCTGTCGGACTGAGAGTCGCTTAGGGAGTTCTGAAACATTAAATTTATTGGATTTATTAAATTTATTCTTTGATTTTATGGTTATTCAATGTGATGGTTTAATGCTAAATATTCTTGTACACATGTATCACTGAAGATATATGCGTATCACCGTACTGGGGTAAATATTAGCAACTTATTTCTTTCAATGAAAGAGGGATTAAATTCCAAAGTTACAACTGTTTTCAAAATCCTATATAATTTCACTACAAAATAAATCTAAGGAAAAAATTAATGCAATATATCGATAGGATATTTATAAAACAAGAAAAATGAAACAGAATTTGATACGAAAAGTCGTGGATGTTGAACAAATAGTTTATTTTGAATTACCCTAACTATATATGTATTGCCATCTATCTATTGTATACACTTGACTTTTGACTTTAAGAAATGGTAAGTTTTATCTAAACATATCACAGAATGAAAAAAAATTATGAAACAGTTATGAAACGAATGAAATTGTCTGAGCTCACCACTGCCGCTTCTTGCGTTGCTTTTTCCTGGATATAGTTGCTCATGTACATCAGGATCTTCTTGCGGTCGTCATCTTTGCATTCTTTTATGTCGTTTTCTAGCATCTGCTCGATTGTCTGACCCATCTTTAAGAATCAAATAAAAGGTATTTTTTGTGACAAGACACAAGAGTAGGGGTAAAGACGTTTGACTGTCTTATCCGATTAGGATTTTCATTTCTAGCTAATAAGTGCGATAATTTAACCAATTTCATGTCCTGCGCAAGCGTTGCCCTTTTCCTTGAAATTAAATGCAAAGACAGTCTCTATAAGGAAAAAAAACTGTTTTGAGGAGAAAACCTACCGCAACGCTCTTCAGGTGCATGTTGGCGCCGTTTTCTACCGCCAGGTCAACAAGAGCTTGAGAGTAGGTGGCAACTTCGTGCAGGAACGTCAACCCAGTCTGAAACGAACGATGACGTTTTTAAAATATCTTTAATGCATTTGGATATTTTAAAATAAAATAAAGAATCATTGAATTCGTGAAATTGCCTTTGACATCATGAGGTTAACCGAAATATTCAAGTTTTAAATATAGTAGGCCTAAAAGTTCCGGCAGAGTTTAGTTTCTCATTAAACGTGAGATATTAAAAACAAAAGAGCTCATTGAAAGCCAAAACTTGACAATTATTCTCTAATTTTGCGTCTGAGGGCAATCGCGGGTTTCTGTCCTCTGTATAACACTTGTTGCTGACCAGGTACCGTGTGTGTAACCATGCAGCACGTGTACTCACCGAGGTTGGTCTGTTAGGATCATAACCGTGTTTGAAGAATAGTTCGGCTAGCGGCAGTAAGTCAAACTCCTTGCCCTCGTACTGTACCATGTAGTTAGCGTACTCCAGGGGCGTCATTCCGTTCTGAAATATTACATCAATAATAATAATAATAATAATAATGACAAATAACAAGATAGAGAATTGTTCCTCGCACTGTTTGGTGACGTTACCATACTAATACGAAGGCTTATCGCGGTACAACTTATCAATTAGACAAACTGCATGATTGCCATACCTAACTGTTAAAAGTTTTTTTTTGACACATGTAAAAATGTGAAAGAAAACATCCTGAAGTATGCGGCAACTTTTGTGGATTTGCCGATCATTTATAATTCAGACTTTCATTGAGATTTCACAAATTTTGAACAGGGACTGTAATTATGTCACTTGAAACGGTACACTGGTATCCTGCAGTGTCTTTAAGATATACCGGGTAAGTACGTTTGTCAAAATGACGTGGTGCCAATCTCTAAGTGTATCGAATTGATAAACACTAGACATAGATATGAAATCATAGTATGACATCACTGACAATAGTGTGACCAGGTCCCATTTTCACAAAAAACTTAAGTCAGTTTCCTGGCTTAGTTGACTAGAAAGTGCTGTTACACTGCTCCTGATAGGGCAAGATATGCCTATGTGACCATGTAACCTTGGTAATTAAGTTCTCAGCCATTGAACCTGCCTTGAGGTTTTTACTTTTGTGAAACCGGGACTAGAAGACTAGCAGGCTACCCACCGTGTCCGTGAGGTTGAGGTCGGCCCCCCTGTTGATCAGGAACTCCACCGTCTTCAGGTGACCGTTCCCTGCAGCATAGTGCAGCGCCGTCATGCAGTACTGTGGACAAACAAACAAATAAATAAATAAATAAATAAATAAATAAATAAATAAAACGTTATTGTCTTGCTACCCATTATTTGCTTGGTTGTGATAAAAAAGCGGAAAAACAGCAGAGAATAGATAGCGGTTTGGAAAATCTATTTGTAAATCAATGAATACGTTTTAAACGGAATCATTTGATTTCTAGGTGTAACTTTGAGTTATCAAAAAAGATCAGATAGTTAGTCGTGTTTAAAAGTTATAGATAAACATTGATTTTTCCCCTCTTTTTGGCCAAGATCGAAGGTCTTAGCAGTGTAACCCTGTATGGTCGTTATGCCCCCCTCACCTTGCCGTCCGGCATATTGACGTCCACCCCTGTACTGAGCAGGTACTCCACAACGTTCTTGTGGTTGTTCTCTGCCGCAGTGTGGATAGGGTTCTGGCACGACTGGAAAGACGCATAAAACTTTCTTTAATTATTGTTTTATCGTTAAAGTGTGATGTATTTTAATTTTTTTTTTTTTTTGCGAATTCTTAACGTCTGCGTTGCTGAAAGCATTAAGAGGGAAAGTTAATTTTCAAAAGAAAACACCATCTAATTGGCTCATTTATAATGGTAAAATTTTGTTGATATTCAGTTTTGTAAGATATATACTGCACATTGACCAAATCTATATCCTCTACCTTCCAACACCGAAAAATGTACAAACTAATAAATTAAAATAAGCTAACAATGACCAAAATAAGATAATAGATAAACAAGTAAAAATATAAAAATAGAAATACAAAATACATGATATATAAAATTAAAAGAAAATAATTATGTCAACAAAATGCATAAATAGATAATAAATGAAATTGTGTGAGTTTGCACAGTCAGCTATGAAAAAGAAAAAAAACGTCAACGGGTCAATGACTTCTACAGGGTAATGACCTTTACCTTACTGAGGCACTTTGGGTCAATGAAGTCGTCTTCACAGCAATGCCTCACAGCATCAATGTCCCCTTCCCCTGCCTTGGCCACACATTCTTCAATAGTCTCCTAAAATTTGTGAAACGTTAGAACTAATATTATCTCCTTATACAGCAGAGAACATTTGAGTATAAGGTTACCGATTAACAATAAGGTTTCAGAAATAATTCTAATGCAAGTAATGTTTCCCTTCTAACGTGTATTTTAGGAAACATAGAACTTACGTGGAACCTCTTGATATTGTCGCTGTCCAGTAACTGGGACAGTTCTTCGTTTCCTTTCTCCATTGCGAGCTCGTACGGAGTCTTTCCGTCCTAAAATGATTTATATGCTTTGCGTTAATGTTTGTGGACAAGTATAAAGTGATTGCGGCACTATGGCGCTATGTATGTCCGTGTGCGTGTAAGAATATGTGTATGGTTGTGGTTGTGGTAGTAGTGGTTGTGGTGGTTGTGGTTGCCGTTGTGGTTGTGGTGGTAGTGGTTGTGGTTGTGGTGGTTGTGGTGTTGGTTGTGGTGGTGGTGGTGGTGGTTCGGGGGTGGAGGGAGAACTAGATTTAAATAGGTTTAGAAGTGGGGACTCTGATCTGACTAAAATGGTTAGTGTTTAAATGTTTGTATCTTTTGAACTCTAACATTTGTTTTAACTGAATTTAATATTCTATGAAAAAAAAATGAATTTTTATCTTTTATCCAGACATAACTAGCACTTGCATGGCCGTCCTCGAACTTGACATAAAGCAACACTCACTTGGTTTTTTAATTTGTTCCAGCGATCAAAACTCCTGTGGATTTCCATCCAAATGGTATCAAAATCACCTCTGTCGACTAGCTTGAATATGTGCTGCAATAAAAATAAGAACAATTTTAGGGAACACAAGAAAAAGACTCACTTAGGCGTTTTCGGGGTGTGAAATCTACCTTGATATTTCATTCGAATCTACACATTTGTAGTTTGACACTTTAAGAGAAGAAGAAAACATTTCATAAAGTGCTCAAACGTTGAAAACTGATTAGTTCTGTTGCAAGCATAACGCTGTCGACACGCATGCCTCATAAAAGAAAACACGATGGGCCTTGACTGAGCTTTCATACTGGTTTTTTTGGCTTGTTCAATTTGAAATTAATGTGTAGTTATTCGATAAAGTGAAGTAACTTCGGGTTCTTAAAAGTAGCAGTTTCTTGTTTTTGTATAAATACATTATTTCATTTAAGAGGACCTCTACTTATACTAACTAAGAAAACAGTTTTATAAGTTAAAACTAAATTTCATCTTTAATTCTTCAAATCTTTTGAATTTTCGAAACCGACAACTGAATCAGGAGATAAGGACGTAGATGGGTTCAAAGAGGGTCAGATGAATACTTTGTGTTGCTGACGTATGGCATTTTGTCTATATTTACGTGCAATGAAATTTTCACCTCTTTTACCTTATTCAGTTTGATAAGTATGTCTTTCCTCTTGTGTTCTTCCGCCAGGTCATAGACGGTCTTATTAGTCTGAAATAAAACAGAGAAAAACATGAGCTAATAATAATAATAATAATAATAATAATAATAATAATAATAATAATATAACAAAAACGACCAGGGATATCCATCAAAGTTGATTTTGCTCTACAGGTTTATACTATCTAAATAATGCAGTTAGCAATTGGGCATGATAACGAAGCGAAGTCATATATTTTGACGTTATAATTGAAGTCTATAGTATACCAGGTAATCCCGGTGGTACAAGTGAGCGCCGTGGGCCAAGGCTGTCTCTATGGCGTCGGCCCAGTCGTCACCCTGCTCCTCGTAGTAGAAAAGGACGGTCCCGTTCATTTGCTGAAATTCAATATTAAGGGTAACTTACGAGATTACGTGAATATAAGCATAAATATAATATTAACTTTAATTAGATTTCATCAAATTGAGACAATTTTAATGATTCTGCCTTATGTACTAGTACATGTATTACTCAAATTGCTTTAATGCAATCTTTGTGCCAGTTTCTATTATTTTCATTTGAGTATTCTACGCATTCTCTCTGCATTTGCCATATTTTGGGCGTCTTTTCTGGGAGTCATAACATGTTTAATAGGGAACCTCATTAACAAAGAAACAAAGCACACTATTACAGTAAATGCTCCCACGTTGCGATAGAGGAGCTGGACAAATTTGCATTGCAGCAATTGAGAAAGCACATCTACCGCATTCCTCACCTCCGCTCTCGTGTCCGCATCGCAATGGTTGTTCTCCAACAGCCAGCCTAGCAGGGTATGGTCATTGACACTCCACATAAGAACCGGAGAGCCATTCTGAAACAGTAACGACATTTTTCTTGAAAAAAAATAGATGTTAATAACACATACTTTATTCTTGTTGGAGACAATGGGATAGGCTAAAAAGCAAAAGCTCCCCTCTATACAGATTTTGAACACGTTTTGTTGTTATATTCTTCAGTTAGTGAAATGCCAATTTTCAGAACTGTCTGACAGAACAAAAATCAGATAAATGAAATGTATCCAGGGCCGTTGATTTATATACAATAAGCAACTTGATGCATTATCCATTTTTGCTTGTTTGTGGAAGATGTTCATTTTTAAAAAATAAATAGATAAGGCAATCTTAAAACGTAATGCAAGTGGATACGCATTTCCCATGCTTTGCTACTGTACGACCTTTCACAGTAGGAAAATTGTTTGCTACTTCATGGACGTTAACCATTAAGACTTATACTTACAAATCCACGTATGGTTGTATCACCACCAGCGTTGATCAACATCTTGATGACCTCCCTGTCTCTGCGAGCTATGGCTTTGTGCATGGCGGTGAACCCGCTCTGGAAAAGACACGAGGACATAACAATAAACAATCATTGTGATCTATGGCGCGGAAGTCGTGAAGAGGAGATACCACTTGAGGGATATTCCTTAATTCATTTTCTAATTATAGTGCAGGCCATAGCTATGATTATTCAGCCAATTACCCATATTGCAAATATTCACTTATGGAAATCATTTTACTGTACAAAGAGTAGGCCTACTATTAAAAGAAGCACGATTCGTAGAAACTGAGTGAAACTGCTAATTTCGCACTTATGAAAGTCAAAATGAGAAACGGCTAAACATCTAAAGAGGAATGTTCTCCCTGCATCATTTGTATGAGTTTAAACTAAAATTATGATTTTCGATATGATGTCGTTTGAATATGTTGATCAGAAAAAGTTATTATTATTATTATTATTATTATTATTATTCATATCTTTTAGTACCTTTCGCAGCCTTTGGTTGACCTTGACCTTCCATTTTATAAGGATCTTAACCATACGACGTCGGATTTCGTAGTCCTCACACTCGATGGCCTTAATAAGCGGGGTTGAGAAACCATCCTAGGTTACAGATAGAAATACAGGTATTTAAATTTGTAAAAAAAAAAAAAAAAAAAAAAAAAAAAAAAAAAAAAAAA